CAAACTGGATTGTGTCTGTTTCTAACATGATTATTTTTGTTTAAGTTTTTGATTACCGTAATTATGGTTATTATTTATCATTTTGGTAAAGCACTTTACGAAGAAATGAAAGTTTCACATTTGCCATATTACACACTTTAATAAGGTTGTAGATATGTAAACAACATTTATCACGTAGCTAGCCAATCACATTCTTCGCATTCTCCATGTAAACGAACGTCACTTTTCAACTTACTTTTTACCGTGACGAACGTCTTAAATCTAAATTCTTAAGAATTTTTCAGTGTGTGTGTGTGTGTGTGTGTAAGTATTCATTTCTTATTTCAGTTTATACCTACCGACGGACAGTTGTCCTGACAGATGATGACATTGCACGAAAACGAGACACGGGATCCGTCGAGAAAACGGAAAACCCGAAACGGCACATAGAGATAGTAGTCCCCAGTTGTCCGGCTTTGGTCATCCACATATACCTTGTCCGAAATACTCAAATCGACTGGGCAGCTGATATCATGGAAAAATAATATAAATTATTAGTGACTTACTTAGAAATATTTTTTTTTAACCCTACAAAATGATTTTTTTTTTTTTGCTGTCCTATGACATTGGATAATAACTGGCGAAAGTTTCGTGACGGTTGATATCGGTATTAAAAACTTTTATTTAAGACAGAAATCAAGTAAAAACGTTTCGATCTGCTTAGGTCATCATCAGGTTGAGTCGTTTTTAACCCGACGATGACCTAAGCAGGTCGAAACGTTGTTTCTTTGTTTTGTGTTTTAAACAAAAAAGTTTTTAATACTCGTGAGTGCCTACATTTGGCACGATATGTTTATGTTGTTAACCTTTACGTAAAAGTACAGATAAGAATGAGTTCGTGAGCTCTGGTCATACCATGTAGATTAATCATGTAAACAGACAGGTAAAGATAGTCATTATTTCACCTAATTATCGCTTACATTATCCACACGTGCAGGAAACATTAAGCAATTTACGAAAATAAGTTATTATCGTCTAATAAATACATGATTAAGTTAACAAGTCTCGAGAGAGGAGGGAAAAAAAGATATGAAGAAAATATTCTCGTCGTTCTAAACGAAACTTTTATCGTATCACAAGCACGGCTGAACAGACCCTGATCGTCACCCGGAGAGCTAGTGGAAATAAATCTTATGGCGTCTGCAGCTCTTGTAGTTTTGGTGCCCTGGTTTGATATCGCCTCCAGAGGCTCAATAGGCTTAATAACTGAGGTATTTAAGTAACGCGCTTTACGTGTTTAAACATGGTATACTTTTCCCGATAAAGACTAGCGCTCGAGGAGTTTGGGTATAGTTAGTTGGCTATCACCATGTCAATATGCAGGGGTGTATATAATCTCTTTCTGGAAGACTGCCACGCTTCCATGATCAAATTTCACCACGTGACTCGTAACTCTGAGATCCACATAAATATAGTTCATGTAAACAGATGATCGTAAGCCTAAACATTGCCGATAATTCAATATATTGTCACCTTACAAATACGACAAAAAAAACTGTTATGTATATATAATAAACGGCTACCTCGTGAAGCCTACTTTTATGTGTTATTTTTAATTAACAGTTTATTTAAATGAGCGTACTCTCAGTCCCCTGGGTTTGTTTGTTTTGAATTTCGCATAAAGCTACACGAGGGCAATCTACACTAGCCGTCCCTAATTTAGCAGTGATAGACTAGAGGGAAGGTAGCTAGTCAACACCACCCACTGCCAACTCTTGAGCTTGTCTTTTACCAACGAGTAGTGGGATTGACCGGCATATTATAATGACCCCACGGCTGAAAGGGTGAGCATGTTCGGTGACGGGGATTCGAACCCGCGACCATCTGATTGTGAATTGGCCCTAACCACCAGACCATCTCAGTTCCCTTTCTGTGTGTGTGTGGAGGGGGGGGGGGGCTGTGTTTTATAAAATCAAGTTACCACTAAAATTGAATGATAATATTGCAATGACGAAAACCGTGAAATATGTTGATGTTGTTTTGTAAAATTTCAAAATTAGTGATTTAAATTATTTTAGGAAGGTCGAAATCTTATTTACAGGATCTGTTTTGTTCCGAATCCAGGAAACAGAC